ACAAGAGGAAACACAGGCCTCTGTGATGACCATATGGTTGCATCTGAGAGTCCACTCGTGCTGATAGCATGTGCTAGCATTGAATTACCACTCAGGTTTGAAAACACATTAAGTCAGTAAAGAAAATACATGAATAAAGGCAAACAGAAGAGAAACTTGCTACCCTGCAGAACCACATGATAAATCATTTATTACAGCATGTAAGAGGCTTTCAGACAGAAATGGCAGTGTATGAGTCTACTTTGCAGAAAACAAGCACCTCTGGGGAAACCTGTATCCACAGAACTGCAGATGTAAAGGTGGTTGTCTTCCATCTGGCTTCTTAAGACTTTCTCCTGACACCATCGCTTCTACAAAAGGTGATGTGAAATATTCATGTATTTATCTTGCCACATCAGCAAGGGAAATGTGTATTATGTCCTAACACACATGAAAAATTTGTTTTTTTTTTCTGATAGAAAAAAGAGTTTTTGCTTTAAAAGAGTCACATCAGCAGAAATATCACACTGCAAGGAAACCAGTTTGAAATACCCTTGGCAGGTTTGACAAAATCAGAAAGAAGGAAAATGACACTATCCAGGAGAGAAGCCATCATGGATGCAAGGGAAGGAGTAGGTTGGGTCTCTTTCAGGCCTACTTGGCTTCAGCATTCTGGTGACAGATTTAGCTGCCTTCATGTGGCAGCTTGAAAGGACAGATTCCCATGGCCAAATTGTTTTGGACTGAAGCTATTTGACAGCCTTTGACCCAGCTCCCCAACCAAGTTAAAATGACATATCCAACTTTATTTGGCATTTGAATTGTAAGGGAAATGACTGTTCTGTTCTGTTAGAAGCCTCTTTTCTTTAACGTCCTGTTAAGAGGAACAAACTGTATATAATAATGACATCTTGTGGCAGTTGTTGAACTATTGCCCTATGATTTAGTAGATAGTTGGATGCCAAATTTCATGACATCTTTTTCCCTCCATGCTGGAGCTCTGTAAGTTCACACTTACAATTTCTGCTGCTCTGAGAAGCTAGATGTAGAAGACCTCTGGAACCTTTGGCTTATTGTTGACTTCAGAGGAAAAGAGGTATTTTCGTCACTTGATTACACAGGTCTGGCTTAACATACAGGTCAGAAATTCAGCCATAACTGGATGAAGAATGGTTATCTGCATAATCAAACAGAATATAGTAGAATTTTGAAAATACTGAGTGCAGAGTGGGTCTGGCCACTTGGACCTGCCTTTGCTGAGCCAAGGCTGAGATAAACGGAGAGCCTTTGCTGGCAGCATATAAAGCCCAACAGCTGCTGAACACCTGCACTGAGCTTGCCAACAGTCTTGGTGAGCAGCCACCATCACCCCGCAGCTGTGGATCAGAGCTGTGTGGTGCTATAAAGAGTAAATCCCCAAGGCCTCACAGTACCCCTGCTTTACTTATTCCAACTTTGGTGCTTGCGTGTCTCACTCCTGCCATTAACTGTGTGGGTATCGAAGGATCCCATGAAGCTCAGAGGCTTAGTTGAAGCTGTGTGACAGTTTATACAAATAACTGTGACGTTTTACCAAGTATCCTATTTTGCCTGCCCAAAATCATGTCCTTGCTGATGCACGCCGCAGTTCTTGCTCTAGTTGAAGTTGGAAGCTTTTCAGAGCTGCACACTCTTCTGCCTGTTCATACAGTCCTAATCAGCATGGAGTTCAGCTTTTATCAGGGAGTTTGGATGTTGACTAAATAGTCAACATAAGTAAGATCAGCAGGAGCAACTTAGGGATGTATTTCTACAGAGGTGTCTGTTTATCCTGTCATGTGTTTGGTGGGTATCTTTGGGGCTCCCCGGTTCTTCAGTTCTGTTCTACGGTGACACTGCTTATTTCTCAGGGATTTTTTGGATGAAGGTGGCTGAAGCTACATGCCAAACACCCTTGTCTTTGCTTCTGGGCTACAAAGGCCTCATAAATAGGTTTATAGTCTGTATGAAAGATTTAGATACAGTTCTGCTTCCCAGCTGTGAGGAAAGCAGCAGAAAAAGACTGTATCACTTACGAAGAGCTCAGGGGTGATGGCAAAATTGCATGTGTGTAAGACAGTGAAACAATGCTGCTGATCAATTGATAGTAGAGAATGTGGAGTGACAGATCAATGTTACTGGTCTCTGCATTTTACATAGCATTTTCTTCCCTATTTGCCATTTTCACTGTCAGAGACCCTGGTGTTCACACTGGATATTGGGCATTTTGTGCTCTGCCTACTTCCTTCAGGTCTGCACAAATGCAAGCAGCAGACTTGCTGGATTCCCTATTGATACAGAAAATAGATGAAGGTAATCGTAAGACTCCATAAATCCATAATATCTAATGATAAGTATTTAGCTGTATTGATCTATTTTTTTTTACATGGGATGATGCCACCTATTGGACATTATTAAAAGAGGCAAAATAGTTCAAAGAAAATAAATTCACTTTATAGGTTTTTTTTTGTTTGTTTTTTGTTTTTTTTTTCCCCCCAGCAAAGAAGGCTACACTTTTGACTGTTTCCTACAGTTCAATGGCTAGACAAAGAGCTTCTATTGGGACATCCTGAATTATGGTACCTCATTAGAAAAGAAGAAAGAATAGAGGCAGAAAAAACACAGGCAACATCGACTATGTCTGGCAAAGAAAATGAAATTCAGGGAAAAAAATACAGGTAAGGTTTAAGAAGTTAAGTTTTTATCCATTTTTCCAATGGGACTATAAACAACAGTTTGGGCATTTTGGGGTTTTTGTTTGCTTGTTGTTTTTTCCTTTACTGAAGGGTGTTGAGGGTGATCATCTTTAAATGACCTTGAACTTCTGGTGGTAAAATTATTAATATTTAAGATCCAGAGGTCTAGCTAAGAAGATACCTTTACTAAAAGAACATTCCTTTCAGCTAAAAGCTAACAGTCTGTGATTGTTTCCAACTTCCCACTTCTGAGCTAAGGTAACACAGGGAGGGCCACTAATACAGGCTCCACCAAGAGCCATCTCTTCATATTGTCATGTGATCTACTTTTTGATTCCTTAGAACTGTGGCAGTTACCAAGCCACCTAGGGAATCCATGTCTCCAAAATGCATGCGTGACTTTGTGAACATTCAAATTGCTTTTCCCAACCTCTTTCTTTTTTCTGAAACGGTATCTAGGTTGGGTCCCTGCAATCAGTTGGCTGAGAACAGGGGACTAGAGGGTGACAGGCTCTCCATCGGTTCTCATTATGATCATAGCTCATAAAGCTTCTTTCTGGCCTGTCTTAAACTGTACTTGGGTTACTATCTACTTGGAGTCCTCAGATTCTCCAACAACCTGGTCTTAAAAGTACTAACAACAACTTTCAAGAAAAATCTGTTTAGTAAATAACTGTACCTTGAGGTACTCTGAAAAACCTTTTTAACACTGGCCTTTCAATATATTCTGCAGCCATGAAATGTTTCCTGAGCTCTGTCAAATTTAGAGGGAATCAAAGAAGCCTCTACAGAACTACTTGGTCACATTGTGGAAGTCTGTAAAGACTTACAAACTTTCATATATTGACAGTACAACAACAGATAAAATTATAAAACTCCACAAGGACAAGGGTCTGATTCTGTTCAAGTAGAATTCAAAACTCAATTATTGAAATCCCATTTATTTAATAGCCCAAACTATAATTCATCCCTAACTAGCCATAAATAATACTCACATTTTTAATTTAAAAAATAAACTCTTTGGCTTGATAGGATTCCTCACAACAGTAAGGGCAGCAGGAATTAGATTTTAACAGTACCTTAGTTCATAGATACAATAAAGGAAAAAGAAATTTGATTTTCACAGAAGATATAAAACAAAATATTTTGAGTTTTCAAAGTGTTGTTAGTATCTCTTCCATTTGTGAATAAAAATACTTGATTGTTAATATAGCTGAAAGAGAAATATCCTAATATTGTCAATAATGCCTACCACTGTCATATGTTCTTATAAGATGATATTTATTGTAATTAGTTTGAATAGATTCTAACCTAAAAAATAGATGCAGTTTCTATGTGTATCAGCGTATCCCTGGCTCGATACTGGTTTTGCACTAACTGAAAACTTTATAACCAACCAAGAACATACATAAAAATTACAAGTTTGCATTTGTTTTAAGAAAGATGTATAAACGAGTTGTTTTCAATTAATTTTATCTACATAGTTATACACAATTTAAAGACAGATTATCTAAAATCACAGTCTTATGCACTGAAAGAGCAATCAAGCATCACAGAATCACAGAATTGTCTAGGTTGGAAAAGACCTTGAAGATCATCCAGTCCAACCATTAACCTAACATTGACAGTTCCAAACTACACCGTGTCCCTAAGCGCTACGTTGACCGAGGCATGTGAAGCAAATCAGAAAAGCTTCACAGACTTCAAAGGGGCTGCTGGAAATTATTCCCATCCCTTAACACAGGTTTATCACTGTTGGCGTTCTTGATGTCTATTTTCTTCAAATTCTCTTTTACTTTGCTTTTGTTCAGATTATTTATAATCCCTGGTGAGAAATGTTTTTTAATTATTTAACTTCTGTAACATGACAGTAAAGTCAAGAGACTGACAGGAACTTTTATAGAAAATTTGCAAACCAGTAATCATAATGATTCTTCATTTTTTTGTATTTGAGTAAATATGAATAGCGTGCAGATGTGTTGCTCTTGCTCCTGTCATTATTCTGTTAACAGACCCCGAGACCAAGTTGGACTTGATTTCAAAGTTACTTTAAAACTTGGCACTTATCTATGAAAATCTCCTTCATTTTCAGTGTTTGGCATATGGTTTCATTTCCTCCCGATGTTTAAAAGACGGTATCCATCTCAGGCTCATCCAGCCTCCTACAAGTTGTTTGGTTTACAATTTTGACTTCAGCCTGCCTGCAACAGGCCTATTGATACAAAATTCTGTCCACCATGAAGGTCTGTTCAGAGTTTTGCTGCCTTGAAGGACCTCTCCCCATATATTTTTATATAACTGCAAAATAATAATAAAAAAGTATTAATTCATACAGAAAATAAAACAAAAAAAAACCCTTCTGCAAGATAAATTATCTGATTGGTTGAAATGAGATTGTGATTGAATTTCTAGGTAACAAATGTGAATAATTATGTACAGTCCAGATAAAGCACAAAATTCAAAGTATTTTGAACATCAGATATCTCTGTAAATCATTTAGACCATCCTTAGCATAAGAGCAGGAAATCAGTAACCTTTATAATTTCTTGTTTTCAACTTGACATGAGATCTATTATTGAAGGTAGAAATTTGGGAACAAGGTTATATTAAGCTAATCTTTGTTCTGCCCAGACCTGAAGACTGTGACGGAAAGCACTCATGCCTGTCTGTTTTTACTTTTATTTCAACACATTTCTGGAAAGTAACATAACTTGTCTCCCAGATGTGAACTATTCGATATGAGCATGACAAATTCCTCTATCATAAGCAGATTATTATTTCATCATCTTCATCAATTTGCAATTTTATGTGGAATGGTTAAAAAAAAGTGCATGAAAAGTAAATACTGCAAAAGTATAATTCTAGCGTTTGGCAGTTCATAATTAGTTGAGGCTTTAAACTTAACATAGAAAGACAAGGAAAGGAATGCCATATTTTCAGCAGTAAGTTGGAGTACAGCATAATATGATATTAACATAGTATAAAACCAGTCAGTAATGTAAAATGAAGAGCCTTTCTTCTACATCAAAAGATGTCTTGGCCCTATACATTCGTGATGATTTAAATAAATATTGAAATATAATATCTAATATTAAGTATGTTTTTACCTTGACTACATGAGCTAGAGTTAACTATTTATTCCATTACAAATATGATTTAACATTGTCTAACAATTTTTAATTAATCTCAAAATAAATGTGGTGATAACTTCACATACTTAAAATGAGATGTCAAAGCTTCTACAGGGAAATGATATCCACACTATCAAAGTTTCTTTTAAAGAGAATCTGAATTCTTATTTAATGCTTAAAGCTGCCCATAACAAATTTGGAAACTCTTCTTCTGCTCTGATTATGACCTGTGGCTTGTGGTGCAAGGCACTCCACTGCAGTGCAACATAGGCTATCCTGAATTAAATTCACTGTCCTGTTATGCTTGGATAATCTATTGTTTACCATACTGTAATTTTTATAAGAACATTTACACTGGTTTTTAGAAGTTGCAAAGACAGCAATGAATAGAGAAAGAAATACAGACAACCAGGAGACAAGGTGCTTTATTAAGTATTGTCTTTAAGTGAGGGATTGGCAGCCTTTTAAAAATTTCAGTTGAAAATATTTATACAAGCTGAAAACCACAGACTTAGAGGCAGTTCTGAAAACCTTCCTGAATTCTGCAGAACATGGGTTAGCTATCACTGCTTGACATTATTTTCTCAATATGACTCAATGAATTTAGAAAAACCTTACCAAATAATTAGTACACGAGGAAGTCAGCAGTCTTAGAGTCCTATCTGCATGTCTTGCATATTATATTCCTAATGTTAATCTTTAACATTAATAAGCCTCTGTGGCTTCTGTATTTTTGTGAGCTAAGAGCTAGCCAAAGAGGAACTAGTCAAATCCATTACATCCTTATCAGCTACTGCTAAGAAATCTCCAGCTGACCAATAGAAAGGGGGTAGTATTCTAGGAACAGATCACCATGTACTTGCACCATATTTTATATTCCTGCCTATAGCATCTGCTCATAGCTTCTGTTCAGAGACAGAATAATAAGTAAAAATGGGATTTTGGCCAGTACAGATATCCTTAACATTCCTCCAGATGATGTTCCTTCTCTTAGAATTACCTTTGGAGCTTCCCATCCATGATTTCATTAATTTAATGCTCAAAAATCTACAGAAATGGAAACAGTTTACAGTGATGATTAAAGTCCTCTTGTTGAGATGGCTGGATATGTAGAGCTAGCCTTTCCTCCTTTATTTGTAGAGTAATCATTCTGTTAGGTCAGTGTTTTGTTAGAAACATCTGGGCTGCCTTCCGTATTGCTTGATCACCATAGAAATGATGGACAATTTTAGACATGAAGACAGAGAAAATTGAAAAGCATTGAGTAAGCCTTACTCTGCAATCCTGTAAAACTTCCTGACAGTCTCTCCAGGCTCTAGTGATTCTCTACAGGGTCTATCCACACTGAACTAAACTACTGTACTGTGACACTAGTCTCTACATAAAAGTTCTCCCACAGCTTGGCCCTGCTGAATAAGGTTGGCCAGTAAGCAAGAGTTTTGGTTTGCTGAGACATGGGAATGAAATACAGCTCTTTAAATATGTCAAGAGAAAAAATAGCAGTGAGAGACAATGACCTAGCATAGCCAAATCCACGGTGCGCTCGCATCCTGAATCCTGCTTGTAGGTCTAGTTATGACCCATCTCAGAACGGATACAGCAGAACCAGGAAAGATACAGAGAAGGAAAACAAGGCCTGTCAGAGGAATTAAAAGGTCCCCACAGATAGTAAATGCATGCAGACTGGGGACTAGGAAGTTATTTTTTCACAGTATTCATGTCATGGAAACCCAAACACAGCTGAATTTGAAAATGGATTGAAAAAAATGGATAGATATATCTGTGGCTATTAAACTGAATGATACAAATACAACCTGTGGGATGATCTCTCTTAAACCAACTGCCAACAGCTGAGACACCAGGATCTGTTTCATAGAGCGTTCCCCTTGGCCACTGTCACTTACAGAGCTCTAAGAACTGGATTCAGTATGGTTGTTCCTATGTTCTTGATTCAACTCTTGCTTTGTGTACTTTAGACTATACCAAAAAATCTCTCTCAGCCTCAACAAGGATGGATTTATATATATTTATTAAAGCAAGGAGAAGTGCTAACAAAACAGCATTCTTCAAGTCTGTATTAAGACTACTGAGATCCCTTGGGTAATGTACTACCTTGCACTGGTTAGTACAAGATACCCAGTTACATCCTAGAATTCTCACTAGATTAAGAGAATTCCCAAAGTACTGTGCAGTTTCTGATATAATTTTAACTGGAACAAGTTTTAAATTTTCCTTCCTCTTATTAAAATAAAAATTTTATGAAGTATTCAAAGAAAAAAAAAATTTCTACATCATTTATATGCACATCACACAAACTGGGTGTAATGTAAATACTAATAAAAGGCAGCAAAAGTCCTAGGCAGAGAAGAAACATACCTTACAACATCTCCAAATTATTAAGCTATATACTAAAGACATGTTACTCCTTAAGGAATCTTAGGGATGGTATAATTTTTTTTTTAATTTTTTTTTTTTGTTCAGCAGCAGATGCCCACAATAGCAAACTAGAGCAATACTGTATAAGTTTGTCATTAGAAGCCTACCTCCAGCAAATGCAAAATGTCATTTTCTGCTGGCATCAATTTAACTCTGGTACTTTCCACTGAAAAAGTGTCTTTGTTTTCTTTTGTAGCTGTGAAGTGTCTTGAATATGTTATGGCTATTTACAGTCAATACCCTTCTTAATGATTAAACCTACAAATTTTAAAAGGGGTTTTCTTACCTCTCCATTAGCTTTACCAATGGGAGAGTTGAGGATGAAGTCAGGAGGAGCAAAAACATCAACCAGGGCAACTGCATCATCTTTCAACTGTTTAAAAACAAAAGACATACATTTGGCAACTTCTGTAGTTGTCTATGGCTACCTGGGAACTACAGAGCAGCATAAATATTGTTTTCATAAAGCACCAGCTATTGGTAACTTAAGAAAAATCCACAATAAGGAGTCAGGATTTATTCTGCTTTTTTCCTCCCAGGGTAATTGCCAAGAGACTGTATTTTAAATGTTTTCCTCCTTTGCTTATGGGTTTTTAAACACAATTTAATCAAGATGGTATTGTTTGCACACATAAAACCATATATTTTTGAACTTTAAAAACATAACATCCAGATTCTTCTTTGAAAATTTGCTTACCTGTGAAGAACATGATTCAATTTGAAAAGCTTTTATGTTGAGAAAAAAAAAATCATGAGCTAACACAATAATGAAATAAATAGAACTGGACTTCAGTATTTTACTGACTTTGCAATGAAGACTGCAAGGCCACAAATGATAGTGTTATTTCATATATATTGGTTTCCATTTTTTGGTAAGTAAATAAGGACTAGATCCAGTTTCAATGAGTTACTAAATTTACAGAAAGTTTTTCAGAAACTATTAATTTAATATCCTGCTAATTTATCCGCTGAAGTACAAAATAACTGATATATCTCTTTTTCAGTATTTCTATACTAAATTATTTAATCACAACAAAAAATATTGAAGGCTTACCCTGTAGCAGAGCTCCAGAATAGCATTCTGAATAAATCTACCAGCTTGTTCACCTGAAGCATAGCCACCTGCAAACACATTCACAAAGAAGCTTATACCAGTTAAGATTACACTGATACAAACCTTTTACAAAGGTGTTTATCAGGTCGGTATTCAAGAGACTAAATAGATACTTCTGTGCAACTGGACTGACTGTCTTTCGTTAATGAGTTGACTGTAAAACCATTTATCTAAGACATTTGGAGCCTTCTGCATTAACAAGCTACACTACAGCATCTTGCTGCCTTTCCCCCATTCTCTCCCCAAGCACTGGACCACAGCAAAACTTGTGTTAATCTGTCACTCCAGATTCCTGGTCCTGATAATTTTGTCCAGAATGACTGTTTTATATTATACAGGCAATAAGAAAATGCTCCAATCTAAATCCTAATTAGGATTCCCTCCCTCTGCCAAGTTAGGACATTTTGTGGCAGGTGCACCCACTCCAATAAAGACCAAAATGTCTCAACTGCTGAAATGTAAAAGTTAAAACTAGTAGTCACAGGTTGAGCATTGAGCTGCCCTGTCATGTGGTGACTGGTCATGCACACACCTTGGGTAAGGGATAGGAAAGGCAAGGCCCATCAGTTGACAGACAATGCCTTCAGCCAATGAAACACATCAGTTGAGAGAAGTTTCTAGACTGCTGACCATACATGACCACAGATCAGATACAACTAGGGTGCAAATGGAGCCCTGCCAGAGTGCAAATTGATCTAGTCCTCCTTGGAGCAGTGGGTCTGCAGTGAGGGGCTCTCCCCTTGGATCAGGATGCTGCCCAAGGTAATTCCTCAAGGTTGAGACCCCTCACCTTGCTGGGTGAGTGCTATGTGCATTTTAGGTCATCATCCCTCAACCTTAAGCTTAAGTTGGCTGTGTAGTACTAATTCTGTTTTAGACAACCAAACCTGTAGTTTACTAATGTTTGTTGGAGTGCTGAACGATTTTGATTAGAATAAATCCAATTTTGATTACCTGCCCCGTCTATTTGGAGAGACTCCTAAAGTGACATGAGCAGTATATTCAGGGAGCTGATCTTACCTTGGTAGAGCACAGCCAGATGTTTACTTAAAGACCAGAGGCCATAGAGCGCACTGAGATTCTTAAGCACTGGCTGCAGAGTAGATGGTATGTCAGGATCATGGGTGTAGTCATGGTATCTCTGTAAGACTGTCTGTTCAATAAAAGCAATGGCTAATGACCGACAGTAGTACACCTTAGGAAACAGAAAAGAATGACACTGAGTAACAAAATACAAGGAACTAATCCTCAGCTGGTGCAAAATGGCATTACTCTGGTGAAGTTAATGGAAATCTGTTGAGTTTAGATCTGCTGATCTAGCTTGAGATTGAAGAAAGTCTAAGAAAAAACTCTAGGAGAAAACTCTGCAATGTCTTTGCAAAGGTTAGTCATGAAATGCCTCATGAAAAGGAGCATAGATTGTATGCTTATTACCAGTATAATTTGACGGTTGCCCTCAAGACTCTATGGGATCAAGTGGGTATGTCAGAGAGAAGAACACGCAAAATCAGGTTTGCTGACTTCAGGATTATTAATAAACCCATATAACTCTAAGAACATAAAGCTAGGTCTACATTTATTTAATATTATGCAGAGTTTTATAAAGAGGATAACATCTTCAAAATGGTTCAGTAACCTACTGAAAACTTATTACAGTTCCTTAAAATAATAAATAAAAAATTTGATCACATTAGCATGAGTGGATTCTGTCTGTGAATTGCAATAGATTGCAATATGTTTTGAAAGAACTATCCAACTAACCCATGCCAACTATCTGTTCAGAAAGGCAAGTCACCAGTTACCGTTAATACAGAGTATAAAACCTTAAGTGATTGTAGGAATGCTTGTCTACTTTAAAATCGTTCACCTTTGCTGTGCTATGGCATATGTTCTACCAATAGACTGCTGACTAAAAAAATTCTAGTTAGTGAACAGAAGGGGAACATGAAGCCATTGCTATTATGGCTGATTTGCTGCAATGCTGTAAAACTGGTGTTTCTTTTCAGCCCATTTGTTCAGGGTTGGGTTGTTTTGGTTTGTTGGTTTTTTTTTGGGTTTTTTTGTTTTTTTTTTTTTTTTTTTTCTCATTTAAGAATTAGTTCATTAGGTTTTTATTTTTTACTTTAAATACTTGCATCATCCTTGCATTGAAATCCACAGTGGCATTTAAAAAAGGCATATTCCAAAGATTACCATGTCTCTCGTGACAGCTGTACAGTAGCATACTTCCAGCCAAGCTTAGATGCAAATATGAACTGCAAAATACACATCTATTCTCTCCAGGTTTAGGGAGGACTTCCCCCTTACTAGATGGACTTTTTTAGATATGAATGTCAATTCCATGGTCAGAATGAAATGTTTTAACATTGCAAATGAAGGACTAACTCCTTATTATTCTCCCCTATAATTCTATTTCCTTCTTTAACTTTGCTTGGACTTTTGTATTTTTTCTATCAAGCTATACCCAAACCAAAATAACCTAAGGATAGGCCAGGAATCTCTTCCAGATCTCCCATAGCAAGAACAAATATATATTAGTCAGCCACTGGGCTGACAGAAAAGTGCTTCTTTATGCACAGAAAGTTTTAGATCAAGTATGCACATCTCTTTAAAGCACAGCCTGTAAATAATTTTCAGATGTTTTTGAGTCATGCCATTTAAAATAAAAAAATCCCGCTGTCCTGAAGATGAATTGTAGGGAGAAAAGAAAACCTAATGACCTGAAGTGTATCAATACCTATCTCAAAAGCACTTTTGTACCTAAGTATCTTTAAATTTTCACACATATGAACATAAGAGAACCTTCACTTCTGAGCAAACCATTCTAATACACTGGCCCTGGCACCAGTCTCCCAAGACCTGGCCAAATGACAGTTAATCAGCCTTGAATTTCTGGCAATTCTTATTCTGAATTTGACCCTGAAGAGTTTCTCTAACAAGCTGCTTCTCAGGGAAAAACAGGAAAGATTTCCTCCACTCTACCAGTGGTTTCACGCAGATCATCCCCTGTTGAAGCTAGGCTGGCTCTTTTAGCTGCAGTTGAATATTCCTTCCTGATGTTTTTTAATGAGCTTTGCAGATAAGGTGAATGACATTGGCCATCTTCAGGGAACAGCTCTCTGTCCTCAGTGAGAAATGACAAGTGTTCTTTCCCTGGATGCAAGCCCGTTTTTCTCATGGAGGTAACAGAAGAATTTGGGGAGCTTGGGGATATACACTGAAATTTGGAATTAAGCCATTCCTAGCTGTTAAAACTCTCTGGTGAGAGAATGGATCTGCTATATGTAGATTGTCAATGTTTCCTTTTCAAGTTCCAATGCTGTCAGTCTGGTATCTTTCATGAGTACTTTGCACCATAGAAATTAGAGATGGAATAGACCTATTAGGTCATCTAGTTTACCTACCTGCCAGAGCAAGATTCTTTCCTACAGTATGTATTTGGCCACTAGAGCAGATGGAGATGTAATAATCAGATGCTGCAGTAGATTTAATAGTAGCAGATTTTAGTTTTCAGAAGTTGTGCTATCAAAATTACAGACATCACCCAGCACATGCCTGAAACTTTTCTGAAGGGAAAGAAGACTTCTGCTGATGGTAACTGCCCTCCTGCTATTATGTTTAATACAATGCACATGGACAGGTATTATATTTTATTAGTTATTTCACTTGCCAGTTTATGCTTGAGGAAATTGTACTTCATGACACAAGAAGGTAAAACTAACAAGATCTGACAAACTTGGATGAAAATAAGTAAATAAAATAAAGCTGAGTAAGTATTACCTGGCAGTTGTTTTTTGCCTCAAAATCACTTCGCCCGGACTGCTTCTCCTTGCTCAGCTTTAGGTCACTTTCTCGCAGCAGGTAGCAAACCAGCCATTTATATGCTGCTAAAGGAACTGTGAAAAAAAGAAAAACAAAATTCTTAATATTCACATTTATAATGCAAAAAGTCACATGCATATTCACTGCAGTCTCAGTTTTTGTTACCCAAGATGAAAAGTGAAAGTGTTAATTACTCAATCCATTAACATGACACTGCCCATTACTGCAGATGCAGTAAGTAACATCTGGGTAAGGCAGTCAGATTGTAACTGTACAGTGAAGACACACCACGCCTGACCATACACCATTTCAAACTGACCCCAAGCTAAAAGACAAGGGATATCCACAGCTCAATTTAGACTTGTGACTCAATCCAGTATTTTTAGCTTGTTATTTTCTTCCCATATTAAGGCTTAGGTCTTCAAGGTACTCAGTCTCTTCTGAGAATACAAGAACAGACGACAGTCCACATTTCATGGAAGCACTTGACTTCTAAGACTGCAAAGGTGGCTGAATGTAATCGCATTTGCATGACCTGCTCTGTACATAAATGCGTTATTTAGAGCAGCCTGGAACTATTAAAGAAACAAGTACTCCAGCATAAAGTCCTTATATGACTCCTCCTTGTTTGTGTCTTTGCTTAATAGTTAATGTAGAATATTATTTAGGCAACTGTGAGTGTTCACGTGCTGCTTAAATTTAGGTGCCTAAATTAACGGTCCAGATTCTAACAGAATGGAACATTAAACAGATTCAGATATTTTTAAAACTATAGTCTGGTTCAGTACATATTACAAGAGAGGAGAGAACATGTGCTTAGCCACCAGTTTGTACTCTCCTGGATTTCACAAGTTGGAGACTTTGAACAAAGAAGAAAGCAAGCAGCTTTTCTGAGCCAGTCTTTTTCTTATAAGCCTTTGTGCCTTGAAGCTGTTCAGATTTTACCCCACAGCTATTATGGTACTACTTGGTACTATGCCTCGCTAACCAAAGTCCAACATTTCTGCAATTATTTGAGCACTGGAGTGGTTACTGAATTCTAGGAATCAACTCAATTGCCCCATACACATTAAGACTGGAGCTCATTCCCCCAGCATATTCTCAGTTTCACAGATTCACTTTTGCCCTGTCACTATCTCATTATCTGCTCATTTCTTTGTTAATTCTTGCCTCCAAGAGCCAATCTGGGCTCACAGTGATAAAAAGTGGGAATGGCATCTAATATCATACTTGATTTGATTATAGTAGAGTAAGCCAGAAAACTGCAGGGAATTTTCTTTCACCATTACTTATTTTTCACTATGGAACCAAAAGTAACTGTCTAAAGCAGATACACTTAAGGCCTTTTCAACATACTTCTATATCACTTGTATGTTTTTCTAAAATATTACAGTGATATAAGGGTAGTGGTAATCAATGCCCCTTACAACAGTTTCACTTGAAACAATACAATAGCAAAAAACCAAGATCACAAATGCGATTTCAGAGGAACAAAAATGGAAGAAAAATATTTGATGCTATCCTCCATTCCAGAATTGAGGCTGGGGACAATACATCATCTTTCGAAATGCAAACTATGGTCTTAGTAAATTGAAATGCATACAATACAAAGAAAGTCAGCAAATAGTAATATGACAAATATCTAATAAGTAGCAGAGGTTGAATTTCAAATCTCTGGAACTTTTCCTCTGGAAAGGAATTTAAGACTCTAAAATCAGTTTAACAACAGCAGAAGGCTACCTGAGGAGTCCATGCAATCTTCAACACTCATGGCTGTGAATTTCCAGTCAAGGATATGATGGTAATCTTGCAAAACATTTATTGTTCCAAAAGGGGACTCAAAAGGAACTTTATCTGAAATACCAAAGAAAATAAAAATTATTTATGAGAAAAGAAGTCACACTATTTGGAAATAAAAGCCTATTACAAATTGCTATTTATTTTATTATGGCCTAGTGGACAAGTGCTGAAAAACCTGACATTTCTGCCTATAACTCCCATAAGATTCAACTCCTATTGCTGCTGAAAATCACTGCTAGAAAACCGAAACAAAATCTAGAGAACTACAAAATGTACTGATGGATATTGCTGCCAAGTTAGGTTATGCAAATTGTTTTAAGTACAATGAGCACAGGATACCCAGGCTTATGACTTTAGTAGTTCCACTGAACTAAACTGCACTTCTTGGGGAGCAAGATATTACTGAACCTGATTAGGGATAGTGCGCCATCTAGACACCTTCTTCAAGACTTAGGAGAAAGAGTATTTCTTGCAGCAAATATCTGTGTAGTGTGAATGTATCATATGATGGAGTCTGTAGCACATTATTTATGCTCTATAAAATTATTTCAGTATGAAATTACCTCCTAATTACATTAGCTACATGCTGTTAGGTCTAGCACAGGATTCCACAATGACAACTTACCTCTTATACAATGCATCCAGCTCATTAAGTAGTTGCTGGTTTGCTGAAGCAGGACATTGTTATCTCCCTCATATGTGCAGTTTGGATCATTGTCATTTCGGATTTCACCTAGACGATTCACTTAATAAAAACAAGTGTACAATTTAATATATTTCAGTATATTAATGGAAGCTAAGAGGGATTAAATAAGTATTCTGTGACAAAATGCAAGAGAGTTGTCTGCTCCTGTAGGTATAGCTATTTTTACCAACAGAGGAACTTGAAAATTCACGTTTAGCTTGTGAAAATGAATATACTTGAAAAGTGTGGCATGCATCTTACAAGGGCAATTTTTATCTATAAAGTCTGCATTTTTATTTTTGGAACTGAGACTGAATCACATGACCAGTCTATCCAACTGCTGGTGCAGATGCTGCATGGGTTTATTTTTTTCGTGTGCTTTCAGGTATGAAAAGATGGATATGAGGGAAAAACCCTTTCCAAAAAATATTGCTAAAATTCTGACACCACGAGACAACAACAGTCAAAGAAAACATCAGCGTAACCATTCTCTTCCATATCAGTGTATGTAGTAGCCTGTAACTTACTGGCAAGGTAACCATGTCCTCCACAAGCTTCTCGGCACTCCTGGGCTGCCTGCTGAGCAGTCCAAGAAGTCAGTGGTTTGCTGGCAGCACATAAGGCATGAATCTCACGTCCTATATCAGCCTTTGTGAAATAGAAATTATAAGTAAGTAATAACTTTTACACAAAGTAAGTTGTGACCAGTTAAAAGCCATAGCTATGTGTACTGCTTTAAAATTATGAAAAGAGTAACTGGCAATACATACATAAAATTTTCTGAGATCTATGTGAGGGCAGAGCATATTATTTGCTGCAACAAAAAAAACCCTGCCACATCTCAAAAACATTCAGCACTAACTTTCTTATATGGGACAGCAATAATTTGTACCAGGTAATGGACACATGAGTACATCTCAGCTCAGATGTGCCAGCTGACATGGCATAGCATGGGACAGTTCACTACCTGCCAACCTTTTCCTCCAAAATATGCAGAGGCAGGTGGTTTAAGGTGGCATGTCCAGAGAAAGCTTCTATCCCCTCTGTGAC